GGGGGGTGTGGAGTAGAGACCCAAAGCCCATTTGTAGGCCACTGGACATCCCCTTACAGAAGGGTGTCGGGAGGAGAAAAGCCAGTCAGGGTGTGATGTAGCAACGATGAAACATGCAACTTTCCTCTAGTTCCTAAAAGCTTCCTCCCCACCCACGATCATGATCCCAATTTTACCTTACAAATCTGGCTAGACCAGAGGATGTACACTGGTACAGATAGGAACTGGGAACACGGAATCCAGGGCGAATGATCCCTTCAGGACCAGTGGTGAGAGTGGCGACACTTGAGAGGGTGGAAGGAGAGTGGGATGGAAAGGGGGAACCAATTACAAGGATCTACATATAACCTCCTCCCTGGGGGATGGACAACAGAAAAGTGGGTAAAGGGAGATGTCGCACAGTGCAAGATATGAAAAATAATAATTTATAAATTATCAACAGTTCATGAGTGAGTGGGGAGCCAGGAGGGAGGGGAAAAAATGAGCTGATGCTAGGGGATTAAGTGGAGGGCAAATGTTTTGAGAATGATGAGGGCAATGAATGTCCAAATGTGCTTGCCACAATGGATGTATGTATGGATTGTGATAAGAGTTGTATGAGCCCCTAATAAAACGATTAAAATAAAACAACTCCTGAATGCTGGTGTAAACCTGTAAGACCTTTAATTGCAATTGAACTCTGGTATAGTAGCCACAACACACGTGGCTCAGTTGAAGTGGCAGTTTGCACAGCTGGAGCCATGTTCAGGCAGCACAGACACTAATGACTGGCCATGGTGTGAGACACCTCACTTGCAAGAAGACTCCAACTCAGAGCTGTTGAAATGGGCCCTTGAAGCCACTGCTCCGTAGGCATCGCTGTGGCTTCCATTGATCCCATGAATCACAGTTCTCAGATAAGAAATTTTAAACCGCAGTTGGAAGATATGGCGTATGTATAAGTGTATTCTCAAAAGAAAAAAAAAAGTACATTGATTATAATTCTTCATTCTTCCTAAGCAGTAGCCTATGAGAGTATTTTTCATTGTAGATGTGTTTGATGGGCATTTGCTGGGATCCACAGACAGCCAGGTGAAGGAAAAGTCAACCATGAAAGCCATCTTTGCTAATTTGCTTCCAGGAAATAGCTACAATCCCATTCCGTTTCCTTTGTGAGTATTGTAACAGCCAGTGGCTATTGGGCGGCTAGATTTTCACTTCATTATAAACATCTCTCTCAACATCTCTCTATGTATTTAAATATGTTTTCTAGTCTGTATGCATTTCTCAAGCCAAATTACATTTTATCATAGTGAAAGAGGAGTTGTGCTTTGATAGTGTATAACTGTCGGAGCATGCAAGCCCTATTACATGTAAGAATGTAAATCAAGGAAGAAAGCATTAACTAATGTTGCTCAACACTTGAGATTACTGGTTCTGAAACTAAGTGTGTACGTTTTTTTTCCGATACAGTGTGAGTAAGGTGGGGGAATAACTTTTATGGTTTCTGCATATGCTTTCCCTGTCTTTCTTCACCCCTTCCTACATTCTCTCTTGTCCAAACCAAATTAAGTCTGTTTGTTATAGGTATTACAAATAATGATTGTATTTGTTTGTAGGATCATTTGTTTCCCTCCCCTCCTATACTGTGAATGCCACCATGCTATCTCCCAGAATTGGGTTGTTAACATCTGGCTCAAGTTCTCAGCAAAGTTTTGGCTACTTAATTCTTAGTGTGCAGTGTTCAGTTAACTGAAACTTGTCTTGAGGTTTACTTGTCATGTGCTGATGGTTTATGTAGGTGATTCTCTGCTACTTCTGCTCTTACTTATTTATGCATTTTAAAATTTTGCACAGTGAT